ACCACCCTTCCAAGTTTTTACCTCACAGGGGTTTTTAATATTTTTTCCTCTTTGGATTAATCATCAAAGGCTGTGTAAATTTTCTTTTTCTGCTTGATTTCCACGGTTCTGAAATTACTTGAGACCTTTGCATATTGACAGTGTCAAATATTGTGTCCATTACTTCCTCCTCTTCCTGATCTGATTTATGTGCCTTTTATGCGAGATCTTCGGGCCCTGAATTATGTAAATCACGTTCCCGATTCGTTTCTCTATTGTACCTGGCTCCCAATAGGATATATTGTTTTTAAACATTTTAAAAAAAAAACTTCCTTACCTGGGATAAATTTTCATTTTGGTACAAACGAAGTTGGTGATTGCTTTGTCTGTTTTGGCAGTAATTTGTCGAATACCGATCTAATTTTTCGAGCGAACATTACTTCCGCCGGTGATAATGCCGATGGCGTAGTACTGGTCGGTGTAATTCTATACACTTGCAAGAATTGTTGTAAAGCCTTTTCTGTTGGAACGTCATAAGCTTTCCTTAGTGCTCTTTTTAATGTGTCTACAAACCTCTCCTCTTGCCCGTTCGACCTTGGGTGATATGGCGGAGATTTGATGTGTTTCATCTGAAAAGTTTCACAAAACTCTTGAAAATCCGCAGATGTAAATTGTGTCCCATTATCGGTGACTAAGCAATCAACCACCCCGAAACGAGCACACAGCTCGTGAAGGCAATTTATTGTCGTCTCAGAAGTAGGTTTTCTACAACGAAATACTTCTGGACATTTGCTATAACTGTCTACTACAATCAAGTAGTAGAAACCCTCTAATGGACCTGCGAAATCTACATGGATTCTCGACCACGGTCGATCTGTCTTAGGCCATAGCTTATGAGTGATTGGAGGTGTCTTGGCTGCTAAGGAACAGCCCTTGCATTTGTCCACCATCTGTATAATATCTTGATCCATGTTTGGCCAATATACATAACTTCGCATAAAGGATTTCACACTGTTCTTTCCTGGATGGCCCATGTGGAAATCCTTGAGGATTCTCATTTGTAGCGTTTTCGGGGTTACTACTCTTTCATTATATAGCAGAACATTATCACATGACGAAAAACTGTTTGCAATATGCTTATCTTTTCCTGCAATTTTTGTTTTCGTTTCCTTTATAAATTCGTCATTCACTGCTTCGTTTCTTATTTCCTGTAATGTGACGGGGAGATTTCGAATTGTACTACATAAGGATGTTCTAATATCTTCCTCATCTCGTAGAGCTGCAATTACGGAATTTTTTAATGGCTCCGTTTTCTTTGGTATTAGTCTATTTAGAAAGACCGTCTGCATGCCCGATTTTGTTTGATGGAACATACTCCAATTTGAAGTTATAATTTAATAAAATCGTACCCCATCTTATTAATCTATTAGCTGTGTAGACAGGTAAACCTTTCTTTGATCCAAATATTGTTAGTAACGGTTTGTGATCTATCTGTAAGGCAAAAAATCTACCGTAAATATATCTGTGAAATCTCGTGACTGCAAAAATTATCCCCGGCGTTTCTTTTTCGATTTGCGAGTAATTTTGTTCGGCTGGTAGTAAAGTTCTTGACGCATGCGCGATGGATTTTAGTGTCCCATCCGGCATTTTATGTAGTATACATGCACTAACACCATAGGCACTCGCGTCACTCGCGACTATTATTTCCAATTTTGGATCATAATGTGCTAGAAATAAATCTGCTGTTAGAGTCTTAATGATTTTGTCGAAAGTTTTCTGACATTCATCTGACCATTCCCAAACTTTCTCTTTCTTCCAACAGTTCGTTTAGGGGTGCGCATAATTTGTGCATGTTAGGAATAAATTCTTGATAATAATTTACTAAGCCTAAGAAGCTTTGTAACTCGGCTAAATTTTTGGAGTCGGCATTTTTTTTATTGCTTTGGCTCTCTCCGGGTCTGGTCTTCTTCCTTCTTCGTCAATAATATGGCCCAGATATTTTATCTCCTTCATAAAGAAATCACATTTATTTTCTTTTACCTTAAAACCGTAATTTTGTATCTGCCTGAAAACCTCTTGAACGTCTTCCCAGTGTTGTTCAATATTTTTGCTCTTTATCAGGATGTCATCAAGGTATGCGATCGTAAAATCCAGTCCGCCTAGCATAGTGTCCATTATTTGCTGAAATATCGCCGGCGCGACCTTGATCCCGAATGGTAATCTCTGTAACTGATATAATCCTTTATGTGTGTTTATGCACAACATCCTCGAGCTTTCCTCATCTACTGGTACCTGTAGGTATGCTTCACTCAAGTCTATATTTGAGAAAAATTTTCCTCCGTTCAACTTTGTGAAAACTTCCTCTGGACTAGGGAGAGGATAGTGATAATCCTTAATCTCTGCATTCAATCCCGTCGAGAAATCAGCGCATACTCGTATCTCACCCGATTTCTTTTTCACGTAAACCGTAGGTGCGGCCCGTTGACTATATTTCATCTTTGTCAATATATCGGTTTTCACGAGTCTATCCAACACTTCATCTATCTTTTCCAATGTTGAAAATGGTACATTTCTTTTCTTCTTGAAAATGGGTTGTACATTTTCTTTTAGTTCGATTTTTGCCGTCATTTTTTTACACCTCCCGAGGCCGGCTGAAAATACGTCGGGGAAACTCTCTTTGAATTTCTCCTTCAATTTCTCTGCCTCGGTCGATAATCTTTCCACTTTTTGGCAGAACGCATTTATCGGTAAATCCCAGAGGTTAAATTTCTGCATCCAGTCAGTTCCAAATAAATTTTCCGTATTTTTTTAGAACATACATTTTTAATTTTTTGGTCATTCCGTTGAACGTCACATTTGTGATAATCTCCCCCCTCAAATTTGATTTTTCTTCCTGTTACCGACCTGGCTATTTTATCTGTTCTCAACATGGTCGATTTGTTTAATTTCTTCCATGTCTGTAAGTTAATAATGGTTAAATCTGATCCGGAATCTAATTGTAATCTGATTTTTTTGTTTAACATTTCTACTTGGACGTATTTTCGTATATTTATCCCGTCCGCTTGATCAGTTCTAGTAGCTCTTACCTGGCTTCTGTTTTCTTTTTTCGTTCTACAGTGCGAACTTTTATGTCCCAATTTATTGCACGACAGGAAAGTCTTATATCGGTTTGGACAGTCTTTATACCAATGCAAAATCCCACAACGATAGCATGGAGTGAGTGGTGGTTTCTTCTGATGTTTCATTTTACTTTTTGTAGTAAAATAATTGGTTTGGTTTGTTTTTGAGGAGGGAAAAACGTGCTTCTCGCTGTACTTTTCGTACGTGAGCGACGCCAGAGTCCTTTTTTACGCTTATACATCTCTGACAGTCCTCAGCCAATTTTTGTAGCGTCAATTCTGGTTTACTCTCAAGTTTTGTTAGAATTCTCCGTCTGATCTGTGCATCTTTATCGAAACCAGGCCTTGGACGAATATCAAACATTTAAGATTGTCAGAACTGAGTTCAGATAACTTAAAGACATCACAGTGTTTGTTTACTGCGGAAGCGAATGTGACATAGTCTTCGCAATCCTTTTTTGTTAAATTTAAACATTTCCACCTTTTGTGAAATAAAGAAGTGTTCGGACTAAATAATTCCGTTAAAAGTTTCACGGCTTCCCTGAAAGTCAACTCATTCGTTTTCCTCGGTAGGATATAGTCTATGAATTTAGTGTATTCGCTTGACCCTAGTTTCCTCAGTGGTAGACGTACTTTTTTCGCGTCTGACCAATTCCCGCAATCAAACTCATATAAATCTTCATATCTTCCGAAGCAAGCCGAGAAGGTTTTGTCTTCTTCCGGTGCATAAGTGAAGTCTTTGATTGAGCTCCATGTAGCGTTTTGCGAGAATGCCGCTTCATTTTCGGAATTTTGTCCTTTGTTATTGCCCGTGGTAGTAATTCTTGTAGTTCAAGTTGCTTTTCTTCGTTTTTCTGTTGAATTTCCAATAGTTTTTCATCGAGTCTAATCTGTCTTTCCTCATTTCTTTGTTGCTGCTCGAATTGCATTTTCATTAGTTCCAATATGGTTGCCTTAAAGTCTTCCATGTTTAAACCGTAATTTAATAATAACACAGGCTACCTGTTGTCACGAGAAGAGGAGAGAAAAAAAAACTCGCTTTTTCCACTTACTTTTTCTTTTCGCAATATGTACTTTGTAGCTAGAGTTGTGTACTGGTGTAATGATTTTTCCTTTTTTCTCAGTGTAGACCTCAGGTCTTTGTCCTCTGTTTGTTCTGGAACCGAAAAATATTTTCATGCATAGAATTCGATTTTATTCTGGCTGACAGGAAAAATCCGTGTCTTCGTTATCACTGTTATAGTTGGTGTCCAAAAAGTTTTTTTATCTTATCTTCGCGTAAACTTTTTTTTTTTTCAATATCCTCCGCCTAGAATTTGTTTTTTTCAATATCCTCGTCGCCACTGTTATGGGCGAACGATAGCAAAAAGGGATATTTTTATATCCTCCGCGTAGAATTTGTTTCTTCAATATCCTCGTCGCCATTGTTATGGTCCAAGGTTAGGACCATGGAAGAACAACACGAAACACAACAGTAAAAATAACAAAGAATATATTACACGAGAAATAATACAAAGAAGTGAAAGGTGTTAGTAAGACTGCCCGACTGGTTTGGCGTGACTGCTATCAGCTCGACTCGATTCAATACCGTCCCAATACCAAATTCGTTCGTCTCTCTTGAGAGGCGTAGTATGTATAGCGTTCAGCAGAGTTCATTCTGCCGGTCTAGGTAGGCACCATGACAGTGATACAACTGAAATAAAATTACAATGAACTGAAACAATATATACAATAGAATATTACAATGAAAGAAAAATTATTTAAATTTTGAAACGGAATGATTTTTTTATTATGGTAAACACCGCGTATAGTCCTCGTTAGGAATACACTCTATGTGTTGTGTGTGTATTGTGTATGGCACAAGTATTTTAAAAGTATGCAAAAAGCATCTGGGTTTTCGGTATGCACTCTCTCCCTTGCAC